CGCCCAGCCTCCGGGTAGCTCCTGCCCACGTGGTGCAGTTTGGGAACTGGCTGCAGACGCAGCGCTGCGCCTCGGCCTTGACGCCGTGCTCAGGGCGAGGGCCCCTGCCGTTTCCTGTGCCTGCCCTGCCCACCACGTCAGCCCCTGGCACTCAGGAGCAGACGGAGGGTGACCGGCTGCCGGGTATTGCAGAGCCGTGGAGAAGACACAGGTGAACCCTTAGTGCTGTGGCACTCAGACAGAGCCAGCGAAGAAGCATGATGAGGGCCGCGACAGGCCGGCTCTGTCCTGCTGACAGCCACGCGTCGGGCAGTGCCAGCCTCCTCACACGTCCTCCGACTGACCGGCCGCGTGTTCCGGGCAGTGCTGACGGCGCCCGTGAAGTGGGCTGTCAGGCCTGCGGGCGACGTGTCCTGTCGGGTCCGGGAGCCCCAGGGGAGACTCGTGGCCGGGTGAAGTGAGCGAGGGCCCTGGGTGTTGGGAAACGGCACGGACTGCCCAGGGCAAGTCGCCTGGCGGCACTCGGTAGGACGCCGTGACCCTGTCTTCCTCCCTCGGTCGGAGGTTCGGGGAGCTGGTTTCTGGTCCCGCTCTTCACAGCTCAGGGACTGTCCAGAAGCCCGGCCAGCCAGAGCCCCCGCCCACGTGTCTGGGAGCAGCACAAACGCCGCACCGCCTCGCCCACCGTGCCGAGGGCCACACGCAGGCTTTCCAGTGTGGGGCCGGACTGAGGCCAGCGGCGGGCCCCGCGGGGGGCAGCGGGCGTGAAGGGCATGGCGGGGCTGTCAGGAGGGTGGGCGGCAAAGCTTGCCTTGCAGCCGAGGCCATGCCAGGGCGCCGATCCATTCATGGCCGTCATGGCCACTGCTCCAGCCTCTGACACGAGCCCTCTCCCCGAGGCCCCGCTCCCCTCTGCAGGCTCTGTGCCGGACGAGGCGTGCTCTGGGATTCCGGCGGCCTGGCCGGCTGTGCTGTCGGTTTTCCGTGCACACTGCGTTCAAGAGGCCGTGCTTGGTCTGGGAGCTGTCCGATGCTGACAAGCTGTGGGTCGCCTTCATCCTTTAGACCTTGGATTGCTCGAGACCCCCATGCCTGCAGGTGACACTGAAGCCCGCCTTCCCTGGGCTCCTGGGCCTTTCCCTCTGAAGCCACGTCTTCCTCAGTGTACTGGTCCCGTTAGCCCGGTGGTGGTGCCCGGAACGCAAATCAAAGAACACAGAGTGCCCCGAGGAGAATCAGAATGGGGCCAGGAGGTGGCGCGGGTGGACTCGTGGCAGAGGTCCTGGGTTTTCGTCCAGGGACCCCCAGGACACGCTGGGTGCACATGGTGTGTTCACGACCTGGACCAGCTGTGTGAGACGGGTAGTTGTGTGAGAACCCTCTTGGGGATGCCTGCGTCTTTTCCTGTGTCTTTCTCGTGGAAGAGATAGGTTAACTTTAAAGAGAGGATAAATGGGCAGGCAGCTCTTCCACCCCTCGGCTCAAAGCTGCCGAGTTGACTCTGCCTGGAGACGCAGACGCAGAGCATCCCTCCACCCTATGCCCGAGTTTGGACCAGGTAAGGCCGAGGCGAGGACCAGCGAGGACCAGCGAGGCACCAGGGCTCTCGGAACTGGCCTGGTGGCCCACTGCCTCTTTGAACGCTGCCTGGCCCTGACCCCCCGGGACTAGCTGTACAGACTGAGCGAGCAGAGGTGGGTGGGGCCGCCACCTTTCAGGCAGCGGTGGGCTCTGGAAGGTGAGGGGATGCTGCCAGGGCCAGAAAACGGGAGCCCACAAGCTAGACGGGCGTGTGCTCCTCATTGACGGCGGCGGCTTGGAAAATGAGGGCGAAGCGACTGCCGTCGGTCCGCACATCCGTGTGGTTCGTGTTGGCCTGGGAACACCGAGAGCCGGCCCGACATTTCTCGCTGGTGACAGGGATGTGCTGACTCATGCTCTCTTCTACTTAGATGGGCAGTGAGGGGGGGACACAGGGCCATGCGTCCTTGCCGTGTGGGGGCACGGCATGCAGGTTCAGCCCACTGCTGCATGCATACACCATGGTAGTCTGCA